TTCGTGTTTCCTTCTTTTACGAACGAGGAGTTTTACGAACTGAGATGCTGAGGAGTTATCTTCCCCGACCTTCTTAATAACTCTCGCTTATGTTGTTTCATCGACAGCTGACTGTCTCCAAAGATTTTTCCTTGTCTCTGGGCGCCCCATCACTCCTCATCAGAGGAGAGGAGATTGTGTTGGAAGTGAAGATCATCAACCATTTGGAGCAGGAGATGGATGTATGTAGGACGCACTTTGTGGTACATTTTAGCTGAATAAGGCTGAGTTTGGTAAATAATCTGACATCTATCGACAGAGATCCGAGTCTCTCCCTGTTGCATGAATTATTGCTCACTTCCATCATTTCTGGCATGGCATATTTTCCCTGTTTTTAAAGATTGCGCTTTGCTGTCATACGTTTCTCTGCATATGTAGGTCATCGTGCTGCTAGCACAGAGCAAGTCCTTTGAGTTTGTTCTGACACACCGAAAAGATGCATCTGTTATCAATGCTCAGAAAGTCACCGTGGAGAGTCACGGCTCTGCTTCAGCTCTGTTCCCTGTGAGGCCTTTGGCTCTGGGTGAGGTGGAGATATCTGTGGATGCCGTGTCTGCAGAGGCCTCAGACAGTCTTGTTTGGAGAGTGATGGTGAAGGTATGATAAAGCAGGGAGATGTCTGAGCATAGGACGGTGCCTGCAACACGATGTCGCTACAAGATGTGCTTTTGAACTTATGCGGCACAGTTATTCCTATCATAACACTGAAATGCTTGTTCCTGAAGCCCGAGGGAGTTGAACAGTACTTCTCTCAGACGCTGTTCCTGGAGATGGAACCGGAGAAACGGAACAAATCCACAGCCCTCTCCTTCTCCTTCCCCCCAAATGTGGTGCCCGGCAGTCAGAGGGCCCGTGTGGTACTGGCTGGTAAGTCTGCCGTTTGTCCTCTTACTGTTCGTGCATGCAGTTTGTTTACTTTGAGTCATTTAGGCATGTATCATAGCAGAAAAGCAAGCGTCGGGATTTTCCTCAGCTATAGATTTCAGGTTCGGCGCTTGTCTTGATAGTCAGCTGCAGGATAAACGTTTCATCTTGCAGAACTGCGGCTTCCTGCTCAGTGAGGCTGGTTTTTTTTCCATCCTTCTGTAACGTGTCATTTAAGCCACTTCCCCGACTTTCAAGGTGCCCATTTAAAAAAAAAAAACTCTTTATATTCCATTCAAAAGTTACCTTATTTGAACACTCGTCTGGTGAAAGAGACACTTTCTGTTCCAGCTCAAATTGCTCAAAAACAAACATGTTGTTCATGCGTTAAACCTTTCCATCCTCTGTCCTGCTGCTTCTCGCAGGCGATATCCTGGCTTTGTCCATCAACAACTTGGGTTCACTGGTTCAGCTGCCGCTTGGATGTGGGGAACAGAACATGATCCACTTTGCTCCAAGTGTATATGTTATCCAGTACCTGGACACTTCAAACCAGGATGACCAAGAGCTCAGGAGAAAGGCTCTAGCTTACATGATGGAAGGTTAGATGGACCTCGGTCACTCATAAAGATCACTGACCTGGAGAACTAGTTATCACAATATATAAGAACGTCTTCTGAGTGTTAAATTTAAGGTGAGCCCATTCTCTGAGCCCATTAAGGGGTTTGTCACAAGCCTTTTTGCTTTTTTGCTGTAAGGTTATCAGAAACAGTTGTCCTACCAGAGAGAAGACGGTTCCTTCAGTGCTTTTGGAAACAGCGACACCTCTGGCAGCACATGGTAAGGTCACCCGTGTGGTCTATTTTCATAAATGTTTTCTCTAAAATCGCAAATTTTCTGATGCTCCTTCTTCTCTCTCCTCTCTTCTTTCTCTGGATCCAGGCTGACGGCCTTTGTGCTGCGCTGCTTCCTCCAGGCTCAGCCCTACGTGAAGATAGACCAGAGCGTCCTGGACAGGGCTGTGTCTTGGCTCTTAAAACGCCAGGGCCCCCAAGGAGAGTTCAGTGAGGTGGGCAGACTGATCCACACCGAGATGCAGGGAGGGCTGGATAAGGGCCCGGTGGCGCTGACGGCTTATGTCCTGATTGCACTTATGCAGGATGAAATCTACACAGTGAGTTAGGGCAGAAATCTATTTTTAAGCTTTCTAGAAGCTGATACTTAAATGGACAGGATGTCTGCGAATGCTAATAATACTGTATTGGTTTCTCTGTATGAAGGAGATACACGAAGCCAGTGTGTTTCTGGCCAGAAAGTACCTGGAGGACAAAGTGTCCAGTGAAGTGATCAGTAACTACAGCCTGTGTCTGACGGCTTACGCTTTAGCTTTGGTCAACAGTCCCGTCTCTTTCACCGCACTGACTCAACTCGGCAAGAGAGCGGACTACATCGGTGACTCAGCCTTTTTTTCTGTCTGAAGCTTTTATAAAAACAGCAACATCCCATCCTTTACTTACCGACTTATACAGTGGCCGTGTCAGTTAGCCTGTGGTTATTCTCTTAGATGGAGTGATGATGTGGAGTTCGTCTGCAGGCTCGAGGTCACGTAACCAGAAGCTGCCCTCAGCACAGATCGAGATGGCCTCGTATGTGCTGCTAGCTCACATCAACCGTGGCTCACTCTTTGATGGCATTACACAAATGAAGTGGTTAAGCACACAGAGAAACCATCTAGGAGGCTACGGAACAACACAGGTGAGACAAACCTCTTTTCCTCTTACTGATTCTCACCTGTGTACAGATATACAGCATATTTCAGCTCCGCCATGGATTCTCACAAATATTCCCACATTCTGCCCCTAAAGTCGATGTTTATCCACGATGGCTGCATCTTCTGTTCCCTTCCTCAGGACACAGTAGTAGCTCTCCAGGCTCTGGCTTCCTACGCAGCGTTCAGCGGCGCCAATGCCATCAACCTCATGGTCAGTGTGTCTTCTCCAGAATCTTCATCACTGTTTCGAATCAACGCCACCAACTATCGAACATATCAAAGTCAAGAGGTGCATCCGTTACCTGGCGTTAGATGGTTGATATGTACAGTAACTGAAATTTATTTAATCTCCAATTTTCATTTCGTGTTTCTTAGATTCCTGCTGAAAACGATCTGCATCTAAAAATATCCATGGAAGGCAGAGGCTTTGCCACATTTCAGGTGCAGTTGTACGGCTTCTCTGTTTCTGTGTACCGCCGTGGTTCCATTTCAGGAATTATTTGTAAGGTACAGATTTGATGAGAAACTGGAACTCGCCCTTACACATCAGGAATGTTTCCTCCATCGTGTTGAGCTCGACAGACGGTTTAACTACCAGCGCGCGAGCAGCATAAACTGCAGCAGCAGCTGTGCGCGATAGCTTCTCTTAGCACAACGTTGTGCATCATAAATGAAAATGCTGCATCATAATGGATCCCAAGCAATTAACGTCAGACAGCATCTGTCTGCACTGCAGATAAAATCGCTGAGAGGAGAACTGAGGTGAAAGGTTAATCTCTCCGTTGTGCTGTTAGTTTTTGTATGAGACGTGTGTTTTCTTTTAACTGTATACTTCAGCTTTTAATCGATAATCAAACATTTGTAACTGTTTCCATGACTACAGCTGAACGTCTTTTACCACTTGGAGAGGGAAACTTTTGCAGAGAACCACCAGCAAGCTGCGGACGAAGCTTTCTCATTACGCATCGATGCTGCTGATGGCAGCGACCGCAATCACATGATGTTGTCTGTATGCACAAGGTGAGCGGTTCACACATGGACAGTGCGTTTCTATGTACTGTATTTATCTTTATTTGGTTAACCCAGCCTGAAAGGATGGATTAGAAATGAGTAGATCAGAGGGACAGATCGGATTTTGCTCTTCTGAGTTAAAGTCAGAAAGGCACAGCTGAGATGGTTTGGACACGTGCAGAGGAGACCATGCAGAGGGTTAGTGTGACGGGGGAGGATGCTGGGACAGGGGGAGATGGAGGCCGATGATCTGCTGTGGCGACCCTTAAAGGGAGGTAAAAGAAGATGATTTATCCAAGGAGCTTGAAAACAAAATCAAGTTTCTTGAAGACGTTTTGAGGTGAAACATCCATTACTATGAGCTGGATGACTGAGAACCTAAGCAGACAAAAAGATTTATCATCATTTGGTTACTATGCATGTTAAACACTCTGAAAATGTTGTCCTCTCCAGATTAAAGGACAGTCAGCTGATACCTCACACAGGTATGGTTATATTGGATGTAGGCCTGCTCAGCGGGTTCCCACTCTCTCCTGAGGCTGCTGTCCAATCAGCTGTTATCAGGAAGGTGGAGACGGCACCTGAGAAAGTCATCCTGTACCTGGATTCAGTAAGTGTTTGAAGCAGCCTAACGGCAATCAGCGTGAAGCTTTAAAACCTGCTCTATGCGTATTATTTGGGTGTGATATTAACCCCTTTTCATTTGCCCTGCAATGCTTCACCAGCACTGGTTTCCTACATTAAATGAAAATGCATGTTGATAAAATAGCAGGAATCCGATTACATCACGTGCGTAGTGACATTATTCTGGTGTCATTTGCAGCTCAACAAGTCAGAGGTTTGTATCAACCTTCCCCTCGTCAGAAACTACAAAGTGGCCCGCGTGCACGACGCTGTGGCACGCGTTTACGACTACTATGAGCCAAGTGAGTACGACTGTGAATAGTGTCGTTTTTAAAAAAAATATAATGTGAATGATCGTATTTTTAATTTCAGCGAGAAACGCGATGAGCACGTACAATTCGCGAGGTCTGCCCGGCATGGACTCCTGCTTCTTCTGTGGTGCAAACTGTGATCTCTGCAGGCCTGGAATCACCATCACCATGTCCGCTCAGTCGATGGCTGCCTACAGCTTCAGCTGCCTGTTTCTCGGACTCACTGTTTTTCTTGTTTTAGTCGGTTAGATGGACTTGGAGGCACACATTCATATGTACTGGATATATATATGTGTCTTTTATACAAAACTCATTTTGGCCTCATTCTATCCAGTGGACTGTTCCTTTGTTTAGTGGTCTCTGCTGTTAACAATGTCTTCTTTTTTGTAAAGATGTGAATATGAAATGACTGGTAGCGGAAACGTGTTACATTTCTTTTTATCTAACACATACTATCTAAAACAGATGCATTTCCATTTAAAGCTTCTTTAAAGCTACTATGATTCCATAAGTTGAGAAAAATGAACCATTAAATGAAGGAGCGCTGTAGCCGATAGTAGCAAACAGAAAAATTAAGGTGACGTTTTCCCTCATTTGCACACATGCCCTGTTGTGTCTCTGTTGGCAGGAAATGCAGATGTACTGAGCTGCCCAGAGTCATATAAATGCTAAAAAGGATTATTGTACAGCTCTGCACACTTCCAGCAAGTGTCTGACTTGTAGCTTTAATGTTTTTAATCCCTGTTGGTATTCAGTTGAATAACCTGCTGGAGTGAAGCAGCACTCACCTCACGGAGTTTGTAGGTACACTGAAAAGGGGGAAGTAACCAGGTTTGACGTTACTGATGGAATCATTAAAATAATTGTTACTGTATCTCAGAACAAATGCATGTTTAAGTTTGCATAAACTCTCTAATAAACTTTCTGCTCATCTGTTTTATAGTGGCAATAATTCACACCACTTTAACACTTACTGGATTGCATAAAATCTGAAGCTGAACATGACCTTTGACCTCACACTTGGTGACTTGTTCTTTCTTTTAATAAGCTATCGTTGTTTTTTGCATTTTGATGGAAATGCACGTCTGGTTTTTATGTAAAATATTTTTTGAAAGGCTCATTGGCAAAGTGGTTTCCCTCCAGGGACAATGAAGCTTTTCGGTTCATAAGTAAAAGCAGACATGGAAAGCAGAACATTAGATGTCCCACAAAAAGGAAACTGACTCACATCTGGACCTTCAGCTGTTGGCTGTGCAGCCTGTGAGAACATCTCATAAATTCTTTCCTTGCCTTAATTCCTCCCAAGCTAAAGGTAAAGCTCCTGTCGTTCCATTTTTGTGCAGTACATTACATATCCTCAGTGTCTGCACGCTCTTGTGCTTATCCCACCGGCTCCTCCCCCTAATGCTCACATATGTTGCTGTTTTTAGTCATAATATAATCCAAAATTACTGAAGTGTGGCAGCACACCAGGAGCTTTCAGCAGTTTAACCTAAACTTATGTAAACCTCACCAGTTACCATCACGTTAACCTGAAAGCTGTTCCATAAAAAGCTCCAAAGCTGCAGTTGTGAATGTCAAACACTAGATGGCAGTCTTGGTATCATAATAAAGATGGTCTCAAAGTTCAGGCTGGAAAAAGCTACATTTGTCTTGTTTCTTTAACATTTAATATTGCCAATAAAGTCAGCAGTTCTCATGATACAGAGAGGTGATATTAGATATAAAACTCCTCTGCTTACAATAAATGCACCCGTGAGCATTTTAACAAAGTTACAGGATGAAATGTTGATGCATCGAAATGAAAAAGCTGCCATTTTAATAACTTCTTGTTAATACATTTTTTACTGCATGTTTTAACCATGCCACACACATAAAGGTCGTAGTAAATGACCCTCGCTGACCCTGCTGTGTCGTGGGTCATGCTATGAAAACAGCGTCGGGAGCGCATGCGGTGCCCATGATGTCATGCACGTACTATGCGTCAGGCCTGACGAGTGCCTAATGTCCTTAACTGACAGACAACTTAGGATCAGCAAAGCATTCGGTTTTACATTAGCTGCGAGGAAAGAAGCACTTGGTATGGGAGAGAGCTAAGAGGATTTATAGCTTTAGGAGAATTTCCCCACACCTGGTGAGCAGAAGCAGAAGATTAAAAAGCTCACCTTTCCCCCTGAAATCCCTCCTGTCTGCTTTTGCAGAAGTTTCTGGAATCCATATTTTGGTCTTATCATACCCAGGTCAACATCGAGCCCCAGACTCATAAATCAGATTCGTGCTGATTCCTTCTCCTCAGTGTGGCTGTACAGAGGTATAACGCTGACTACGCGCCTAGGAGATGCAGATGGGTTAAACTCAGTGAAGGAGATGGTTATTTATGAGCTCCATCTCCTGATGGGAGCTAATGCAGCTGCTGCTAGACAGAAGCTGAGTGTAGCTCCGATCAGCGACAGATTTTTTGCACATGAATCTTTTTTGTTTCACTGAAATCTGTCGCTTGATGAAATTGATCAAACTCTCCCATCAAAGTGGAAAAGTTAGATGACAGGGATACACACATTTAAGTGCAGTAACCATGTTGCTTTGTATACTCAGCAGTGGTTGTTATATGATATACTATAATATTATAATGATAAATTACACGATAACCGCTGCTTTTGTGACCGCAGTTATTCACTTTGGGATGGAATTGCATCTGGTGAGTTTGATGCTTTAATCCGGCACAAGTTTTCTTCCAAAAACAGGCAGATAATTGCTCCCCGTGGTCCAGCTCCAGATGACATCAGTAGGAAACAATTGCCATCCAAACAAACAACGGCATCATATGGAAAATCGCTGCTGTGGGTGTTGTGACTAAATTCGCGGTGGAAGCAACAACAAAGATGAATGGAAGCTTGGTGTCCCTGGTGATGCTACCTCAGTGATTCCCCATCTGCGCGGAGAGGAGGATGCTGCGTTTGTTTGGCAAGGAATGTTTCATTCACCAGAGTAAGTCATGGAAAATCCCTCGGAGCTTTCTTCCCACCCGTAGTGAGTGAATATTTACACAACCCCCACGCGACCCCGAACAATCCGGCTCAGACAGACAAATCCATGCAAGAGTGTGCAGGAGAGGTGGGGGGATCCCGGGCAGCAGAGCAGAGGTCCACTTAGTCAGCCTGCCCGTGGCCTAATCTGAGCATACCAGCATGATATGATCCAGGTAAAGATGATATCAGACATCAGAGGAGTCTGGTTCATACTTTGTCACCACCAAAGATTATGTTTGGCTACTCGCTCATGTGAATCATTGTCTGTTGATGTTTGTGTCTGCAATTCACTCTTATTTGTACAAGTACGAGCTGCTACAAGCCCAGTGAAGCCACAAGCTATTGCCCAAATCTGGGGCTGTGGATGCATGTCTGGGCATTCTGCAAGTCTAATAAAAATTCTTAATAAAAACAAATCTTGAAGCAACTGACCGGAGGGTAGAAAGATAAAAAAAAAATGTTTAAAATATGTGCACAATGACAAAAGATAATCAGTTCCATTCTTTTTATGTATCTTTAATAAGACACAGAAACAATTCTCAGTGAGCTGCTCATTTGATGACAGTGGGGAGAAAAACATTCCTGAAAGAGAGAAACGTCCAGCAGAACCAAACAGGGAAGGAAACCATCTGTCTGGTCTGGTTGGGGTGAAGAGAAAGTGGAGATAGAAAATATAAGCAGTGAGAAACAACAGACAGACCAGACAGATTAAAGCCAGAGCTGCATTACTCGCACCAGGAAAAAGGAGTTAATGACTGCTGCCTCGTGAATAAGCAGACTTTTAGTGTCTCTGGACATCCAGAGGAATGAAAGGTAGGAGTGTTGAGTGTTGGCTGGACTGAGAGGCCGAAGTGATGGGATGCTTAAGCAGACGGGATCAGGAAAGGTGAAAATGATGATGAATGATGCTGAAACTGTGACTAAGGTGTGAAGAAAGTGGGTCAATTTTGGAACCACTGATTTACATTTCTTTACTCTAACTGTGAGAGAATAACCTCTTCAGCTGGTTCCAGACCTTTTAATGTCAAATTATGCTACAAAAGTAGTATTTTTTTCTTATTGTGGTGAAAGAGCATCACCGGGAAACGCTTCAACAAGACTAGCTTCTGGATTATGATTTATTGATTCAGTCTGGCTCACAATGACTTCTTGACTCATCTCCGGACTTCTGTTAACTCTTTGCGTGTGAGCTAAAGAGGCAAATGATTCAAATTAAAAGTCAGACATAACTTAACCAGTCATGCACACATGCAAGTGAAGCAAACCCAAACTGCAGATGCTGGTGTGACCTCAGGCTCTCGGTTTTCAACTCAGTTTTCACCAGGGTCGGTTTAGCTACCCTGAATTCAACTGTCGCACATTTCCTCAAACTCTCTGCCCAATTAGAGTAATCAGAAGCAGATGGATTCAGGTTTCCACCTCGGCTCCTGTATGTGCGTGGGCTAGAGCCTTTGTATTCTCTGTGGACGTGAAGGAGAGCCGGACAGAAGTAAAGTCAAAGCAGTATGTGTATAGTACAAATGTATGTAAAAGCCCCTAGAAATCAGCACTGTGTTTGCACAGACATATCTAACTGACACGGGTTATTTATGTGTCTAACCCACAGAAAGAGCGGGAGTTCCTGCAGTCTGACGAGGAACCAAACACTGTCTGACTGAGCCGTCTGAATCTGCGCGATACACTGCTGTGATTACTTCACACCGAGGACACACACATGCACACCGGCCGTGCATCCCTCAGCTAAACACACGTACACACATGCGCATGTTCCTGCAGAAGCAGGGATCACGGGACCGACGAACGGCACGAGCTGAGAAAACCCCCACTTTTTCACTCACATATGACACGATGATAATGAACGCTGGAAATGCTGCTGGAAATACTCCAGTCAGAGTTGAGATGGAGTGTACAGAGTCTGATACGAGCTTCTGTGTTTCGTCGTCTGACAGCGCCTCATTAACTGCACTTTGAGTGATGCAACCTCACATTTTCTCTCAGTTATAAATCACTGATTAAAGTCAGCCTCACTGAAGGATGGAAAGGGACTAATGTCTTTATCTGACATATTTCTACTTTTAATTTACTGTAGCGAGGATGTGCTGTGAGAGAAATCTATACATATATACTTGTTTAATATACTTGTTTAAGCAGATTTCAGAGGTATTGCTGTACTTTCGCCTGCAGGAAGGTGCAAAGGTGACAAAACATGTGTCAGACTTGTTCCTTTGTCCATAATAGTCCACGATGCACTTTTAGCCCTGTTTTTGGAGTCTGCCATCTTCTTGTTTTGTTTTGTGCT